AGGGTAACCTGAAATGTGGGAATTATAATCGGGTTCAATGTTTTGTCAAGTAAGATGGTCTTTCGTTCATGATTCTTTTTTAAATGGAGATATTTTAAAGTCTATGTGCTCTTTTTGCTGCAAACATAATCTCTACGAATAGACTGAATGAATAATCAATTAACGTTCTATCCAATTTTAAAATTAGAGCATTAGTCAACAGTAAGACTATAATAAACAAACCATGAGCCCAATCAGTGAAGGCGAGCTGAGTTCCACTAGCCCAGGAGTATTCTCTATCACTGCTGTACAGTAAGCCTAGCCATAGTCCCTTATCTCCAGCCAGCTTCTTAACCTGTGGAACGTGTGTGAGCAAGCTCAACATTCTGGAATAGGCTTCTTTTTTCTCGATGTTTTAGCAAAATTATTAGATGGGAGTTCAATTGCTACACGTTGCAAAAGGGTTGCAGCGTGTGTCAAGAGTTCATCTGTTTAAGATTCAGACAAGTGCACTGATTGTAACTTTGTAACACCACAAAGCATTTTCCATACAGGGGGGAGGTAAGTAATTATGTAAAGTGACGAACCTGCTCGGTCATGTATTTGAGGGGGAGGGGGAGGGGGAGGTAATTATTTAAAGTGACGAACCTGCTCGGTCATATATTTGAGGGGGAGGGGGAGGGGAAGGGGGAGGTAATTATTTAAAGTGACGAACCTGCTCGGTCATGTATTTGTCGTACACCTCCAGAAGTAGAGCACCACGTGACCTGCACATGTCGTAATTACTACGCCACGTGTTTACCACGTGTGTGCCGTACGTTGTTACCTCCCACACGTCCTCACTTTCTCGGATGGGAACTGAAACACAAGGATTTATTTTTAATGTTAATTCGTAACAAATGAAATGCAAATAATACCTTATATTTGTAGTTAAACAGAACTTATTAGAATTCAATTCCGATTTCCGATAGTTGTAAGCGAACTTCAAGGGCACGATCTGTAACAAATAGAATACAAAGAAATATGTCATGAATAATTAGGGATGACTAAAATATAAGAGAGAAGAAGTTATGTTTTAAATATGTTTTTACATATACTTACTGATAATCGTATCTGAATTAATTCGTTTTACTTTCATGCAGATGAGTAGAAGTGTGAAGAACTTTAGGTTCATCATTATAACCTCACTATGGTAACTAATAGTGTAACTATGGTAACTAGTAGTGTAACTATGGTAACTAGTAGTGTAACTATGGTAACTTGTAGTTTATCATAACCAGGCACTTAAAGGAAAGGGTTTGTTATAAAAGCAATTTAAGAACTACAATTGAAATAATGAATTACAGACTTTCCCCTAAAGCTCTAAGAGTAGAAAGGGAGTAAGACTTTCCTCTAAAGCTCTAAGAGTAGAGAGAGAGTCAAACTTTCCTCCAAAGCTCTAAGTAGAGAGGGAGTAAGACTTTCCTCTAAAGCTTTAAGTAGAAAGGGAGTAAGACGTTCCTCTAAAGCTCTAAGAGTAGAGAGGGAGTAAGACTTTCCTCTAAAGCTCTAAGAGTAGAGAGAGAGTCAGACTTTCCTCCAAAGCTCTAAGTAGAGAGGGAGTAAGACTTTCCTCTAAAGCTTTAAGTAGAAAGGGAGTAATACTTTCCTCTAAAGCTCTAAGTAGAGAGGGAGTAAGACTTTCCTCTAAAGCTCTAAGAGTAGAGGGAGAGTCAGACTTTCCTCCAAAGCTCTAAGTAGAGAGGGAGTAAGACTTTCCTCTAAAGCTCTAAGTAGAGAGGGAGTAAGACTTTCCTCTAAAGCTCTAAGTAGAGAGGGAGTAAGACTTTCCTCTAAAGCTCTAAGAGTAGAGAGAGAGTCAGACTTTCCTCCAAAGCTCTAAGTAGAGAGGGAGTAAGACTTTCCTCTAAAGCTTTAAGTAGAGAGGGAGTAAGACTTTCCTCTAAAGCTCTAAGAGTAGAGAGAGAGTCAGACTTTCCTCCAAAGCTCTAAGTAGAGAGGGAGTAAGATTTTCCTCTAAAGCTCTAAGAGTAGAGAGGGAGTAAGACTTTCTTCTAAAGCTCCAAGAGTAGAGAGGGAGTACGACTTTCCTCTAAAGCTCTAAGTAGAGAGGGAGTAAGACTTTCCTCTAAAGCTCTAAGTAGAGAGGGAGTAAGACTTTCCTCTAAAGCTCTAAGTAGAGAGGGAGTAAGACTTTCCTCTAAAGCTCCAAGAGTAGAGAGAGAGTACGACTTTCTTTTAAAGCTCTAAGAGTTGAGAGGGAGTAAGACTGTAACGATATAATGACTTAACTTATGTTAAAATTTTCATTTAGATTAAAATTTAAGTGAAGATCCGACGGATTTCCCTCAATTTTCATATTTCTAGTAATTGTGATAATGGGAAATATTTCCTTAATAATCTTCAATGACGTGCAAGAGAGCGAAATGACGCGCAAGAGAGCGAAATGGTTCGCCTAAAATTAACTCCCGATCAACCGGCCGAAATGTCCGACTGAACTATAACATAAACTATAAAATTACAAATTCTAGTTTAAGTTAAGTTAAATACCAAAGCTACAAATTTGTCCCACAAAAATTAACCTTCACTAATTTTAAATGATACCAAATATTCATAAGGACACACCAAATTAACAATTAGGAAAACAATAGAATTTACTCGCAGTTAAACTGAATTGGTTGGCCGTGACTTTACAAGCCCGAGCAAGGAAAAGCTCACGGCAGTTAACGAGGTTTTCCGGAATGCTAAAATATGTGCTAGCAGTAGCAGTTTTTGTTTGGCCAAGCGAAGGTGAAGGATGGTCTACTGGTAATGAGTTAAAGAAAGCGTCGTCATGTGTTACCATGGTTACAAAGAAAGCGTCGTTTAATCGGATTTGTGTCAAAGAAAACCTCCAAGTGACGTCAGAAAGGTTTAAGTGCAGATGTAGTAACTAGTAAAACATGGTTATTCAACTGTTTTCACACAAACGGTAAACTAATTAGTACAACGAGTTGAGCTGTTAGCTGTAGACGAACCTCATTTTGAGAACGGTTACGATTTATTTATGAAGGAGCAACCTTTCATTCTACCTTACATTCTACAGTTACGGATAGTCGAGAACGGGTTTAAGGCATATTATGACTTGGTGAAGACGGTTTAACTTTAAGTTTTAACAACGGAATGAAGGAAAGTTAACGCCGAGTAAAGAATGATAAGAGATCATGGATTAAGAATGAGCACTCCTTATGAAAATAGTTTTCGTATAATTCTGAAGCACCTTGCCCATTAAATTACTCTAATTCCTTTAATACGATTGATCTCGACCATTCACCTATAATAGACCTATAACACCTTCGCCGGTTTTTAATATTTATGATTATTAAGGTCACTGACTGCTTCTTCAAAATAGCACCTTTCCCAGCAGCCCTTTTATCAATAAGTAAGTAACCTAACGGTTTGATAAATTCCTGGACTATTCCTGACAGAGTGCTGCATGCCAGTCACAATTCACATTCCAAATGCTTGCGGAGTGTTTATTCACATTCCAACTTAGCGCCCACGTGATAATCACACTGATGATTGATTCACTTTCCTAACCTTCATTAGAAAGGCATGACCTTCACAGAATATCATTCTCTACACAACTTTCAAGCAGCAGCACCAAATGTACGGATGAGCGCCCACGTGTGACTTAGTCAGACCAATGAGAACAAGTCTTTACAGACACGTGACAACCACATGACAACCACGTGACTACCACTTGACAACGAGATGCAGACAAATTGTTCATGTACCGAGGTGGTCAACTGGGTTAGGATTCTGTCGAAAACTGTAGTGGCCAAAAAGAGCTGTACGTGGCAATTCAGGATATATTAAATAAACATGTCACCTGTAATGCTCACATCTGCTCTAGGTCTATGTTCTACTTCCACCTCTTTAGGATATCACCTGACTTTTACTTTTCATACTGTTATCTTTGATTGTTATTAATATTGTGGCATCTTATATAATCGCTGTTTGGTCTTCCGTTTCTTGCATTATAATACTGTTGGCGAATATTTTGGTCAATCTAGTCGCGCATGGGAGCTAAAGTTAACTGACTGTTTAGGCGACGGATATGTTATCGTTTTGTTTTTTCCCACGATTGTTTTGAAAATTAGCCAAAGTCGACTGATTCAGTGCCAAAACTTGCATGGTGGACCTGTCAGCTGACCAGTTTCAGATCAATAAACAATTCATAATGTTTTTATTCTGTGCATGCTTTTCTTTTTTTGGCTTTTTAATCGTACAGGAAGTGCAAATATGTTCAAACTTCAATATCGTTGCTTAGTGCTCTAGATAGATAGATAACGTTAAGAGAACACGTTAAGAGAACACTTCTCGATTCCAAAATTTAAACCTCCATCAAAAATGTAGACCATCGTCCAAACAACCATGAAGGATTTGGAGTCTAAATAAGCAATTTCAGAATCCTGGGGAAGCAGTAAGGAAATGAGCATGCACGAATCAACTTCAACTTTGTTGACTTTAGAAGAGCTAGTTCAATTACTAATAACTTGATAACTTGATAACTTGATAGCTAATAGTAATAAGCAACTTTAATATGACCAGTCTTTTTATTTTTATTAAATACGTTTAATCATCAACCAGACAGGAATTGATTCCAGAAAAGGACCGTCCCAACTAAAAATGACGCAGCACGCCTCAACCTACGCCCCAAATCCCCACGTGACTAAACGTAGCGCCCACGTGACTACACGTATCGCCCACGTGACAAATAGTTAGCATATTTGACTTAACGTCACTTCAACAAGCATCATAATATGTTGAAATATAAATATATGATAGCAGATGTATAGTCCGCCTAGACGACTAGCTCTTGTCGGGACTGGTGTAAAACAAGTCGCCAGTTTTACTACTATTAATCCTCTCTGTTTATCAGTATTTAGTGCGACGTTAGCCAGTTGTTATAGTGTTAGATTAATTGTTGGGTTTTGGTTTATAGTTTAATATCCGTCACGCGTGGATGATCACATTTGATATCCGATCAGCTCATTTCATCACAGAGCTGTTTTTGCAAGAGTTTTAATATGTACGATGATGCGTCACGTTTTGGCAGAATTCCAGGCTTTTTAACTCATGTTCATTTGTTTTAGTTACAGATGAAGCAGAATGTCGATGTTTACTACTCTCTTCATAGCAACCGCGTACCTTAGTCTCCGACTCGTTGTTGGTGAGTAATTTACTTTGTTGTTGAGAATTTGCTACCAATATTTATATCGGATAAAAATGTATCGTATTGAGGGCACAATGGCGTTTTTTTGGTGCTGAAACACAAATATAAATCATATCTAGTTTTGAAAACTTGATAGAATTTTTATTTGTAGAGGTCGGAGTTTTCATAAGTTGTTTAATTGTCCTTTCAACTTATAGTTGAAGAATTGAGCCACTCTTCCAATCCACCGATGAAAGCAAATAGTAATACAAACTTCCCATTCGAACAGTACTCCGATTAAACCCCTTTCATCACTTAATTTGAGATCGCCACTTCACAGGTATCCGACTGTCAGAGTATCCTCCAGAGTTTCTGATCCTCCCCCAAGACAGTGAACTTACTCTCACCTGCCGAGTAGAGGCCTCTTCTACAAACCCCTCCACCGCCCCAGACGCCTCCTCCACCTTCCAAGACTCCACAGCTACAAATCTATCAGAGTTAGATCTTGGTTCCGTTGGTATTCAGTGGTTTTATCAGCAGACTGCAGACGGTCAGGAGTGGTTTCTATTTGAGGTTTGGGTTCTTTTAATTTTCCATCCACTTTTTGTAAAAAAAGTAAAAGTGGGTTCATCTCAATTGATTTTTAACCTTATTTAGATTTTCTAAAATAAAGAAAGCACATCAGCCCAATCACAGCCCAAAACATAGCAATTCTATAATTATAATAAAATAATTAGTTTCTAATCGTTATAGACCCGCGTCTTTGCTATCCCTTGCCTTTAATCATTTGAGCATTTGCTTTAGGCCCATTACATGATCGCACGATTTCCGGCCTCTAGTGCATTTGGCTTTTTTTCAACCTTTATAAGTTTATATAACTATATTCTTTCAATATAGAAACAGAAATTTGGCGCCGATAATGATTCTTGTTCAGTTGCTGTATATCAAATATCATTATATCCTTTGCTATAATCTTCATTTCAAGTAGATAATTGCATGATTTGATTTGAAACTTTTACAAAATAGCAAATATACAAATGTACAGCAAGTCGAACAAACATATAAAATGGGCCGAAATGTATAAATGCTATAAAGCGTGGGTCAGTGAAACAAGTACAGAGGACAACTTTCAAAACAGGAGTTTTATGGCCGCCCAAAGTCTCAATAACATCACCTCCACCTAGTAATAAAATTATGAAATATGAAAAGTGTGAAACAATCAAATAATAAAATATTCAAAATATATAGTTGTCTCTTAAATACAGATAACGTCTGAAAATTCTTAAAATAATCATCACTCCTTCATATACTGATCAGTGTCCGAGAGTGTAACTCATGATGACTTCTTATCACGGCTACATACCTTCCCGTACCGGATGTAGTGGTCGAGATGAGTCTGTTACGCCCTCTTCTTCTTCAGGTCAGTGACCAGATGCTTCCTTGTTGCTCGTTCTTCGCTGGATCTGTCTGGACATATCCATACATCTTTGTGCGTCTCCCTCAGTCTCCCTGTTTTCATCAGAATCTGATGAACCGCTGTTGAGCTTGGGACGGTGATCTTGACTGGTCGGATAGCCGTACTACCTGCAGCCTCTTCCAACCGACTCTAGTCGCTTCGAAGTGAGGTTTCTCCCCGATCTCCTCCAAAACTGCGGTAACTAGCGCTGGAAGCTGTTCTTCCTCCTCTTCTTTCAGCCCAAACACGATCAGGTTCTTGCTCCTGTCCTCCTCTGCAGCCACACTCTTCATCACCTTCTTCAGGATTTTACTGTTACAGACCGTACCACTTGCACTGTTCTGTTGAACAGCTGCACTATAGTTCTGAATCCCTGACTCCACCGTTGTTTGGACTGTCTCCTCAACAGAAGTCTTAAGCAACTGTAGTTGTTCGTCCTTCTGCATTAGCAGCTGGCCCTGCAGTCTGATCACCTTTTCTTTGTCTGCTAGTGCTTCCGTCTTGAAGCACTCGATGATCTCCTTCAAGAGATACATCTGACTACTCTGCCGACGAACAAGGTCCACTGCATCCACAATCCAGCTAGACAGAGTCTGTTTATCCTTAGTTTTGATCTTTTCACGACTTTCGTAGTCAATTTCATTTTCACGGTAGTCCATATGCAGGTCTTTTTCTAACTGATCGGACCAGCGTGCAACACAGCCTTCCACATCTTCCTGTTGATCATAGTTGAACTCCTTAATCAACTCCTGGGATCGGGTCAAAGTTGGGTCATCCCCCATAGTGTACTTGTATAGTAATGTACAAGTACACACGCAAAGGTAAACTACGCGGTAACAGCAAACTGAACTTATTGCAAATTTACAAAAGATAAGAGAGCTCGATATTTGCAACACAAGCTACACTGATTACACATCCCACATAGTAAACCAATATCATCAAGTATGTAAACCCAAGTATATAAAACTTTTATTAAAAGTCCCGACTTTTATTAAAAGTCGGGACTGAACCCTGACCATGATGACCAAACTGAACCCATTGCTAACCATACTTCTGCTAAGTTCTTAAGTTACTTCTCAATTCTACACGATCAATTAGCATGCTATTACAAACAGAAGGACCCACAATAGCCAGAGATCACAGAGGAGATTAAACGTTTCTGTCAAACTTTAACTGTATTAGCTTATTAGTAGATTGTTATGGTTGATTCTGCACACAGACTCACGTGTCTAGTTTTTTATTTTCCGCGTGTCAATTTTAAAATTCTTCATGAAGAATTTTAAACGGGCGAAATCGTTTTATTATTACAGTACAATTGTATATCATGTATTCAGACTTTCGCAGAAAAGACTGATAACTATAAGCACATACAACAGTAGATATAGCACATACATACAACAATTATTTATTGGTATTTATTTGTATAAAAGTGATCATCCATATTCCATATGTGTTATAACCAAGTCATGAGTTAACCTATTTAATTAATGCTTTTCAAACAAGTTACAACGAATTCTTCATGTAGTGCATCCTGGGTAGGACAGGATATGCCCGTTTAAGATATTTCCATCACGTTTATACATAATTCTCTATAAATCTAATATATTTGTAGTGTTGTAATTAGTTTAATGTTACAGTCGGAGGTACTGGAGTACTCGAGCGTACAGACGTCATACGAGGGATTCTACTTCTGCAAAGCTGTTTTAAACGACGAGGAGTTAGTGAGAAGCAATGTCACTCGGCTTAAGATTGCATGTAAGTAACATACTATCAGAATTACTAGTTACCATAGTTACACTACTAGTTACCACAGTAAGTAATATACTATCAGAATTGATGCGTATCATGTCAAAATCTAGGTCATAGGATCCAAACGCTGATTGTAAATCACACAAGAGCCGGAGCCTGAGAACCTCAGCTATATTTCACAAGTCTCCATCATAGTACCACTCTCATCATAGTACCACTCTCATCATAGTACCACTCTCATCATAGTACCACTCTCATCATAGTACCACTCTCATCATAGTACCACTCTCATCATAGTACCACTCTCATCATAGTACCACTCTCATCATAGTACCACTCTCATCATAGTACCACTCTCATCATAGTACCACTCTCATCATAGTACCACTCTCATCATAGTACCACTCTCATCATAGTACCACTCTCATTATAGTACCACTCTCATTATAGTACCACTCTCATTATAGTACCACTCTCATCATAGTACCACTCTCATCATAGTACCACTCTCATCATAGTACCACTCTCATCATAGTACCACTCTCATCATAGTACCACTCTCATCATAGTACCACTCTCATCATAGTACCACTCTCATCATAGTACCACTCTCATCATAGTACCACTCTCATCATAGTACCACTCTCATCATAGTACCACTTTCATCATAGTACCACTCTCATCATAGTACCACTCTCATCATAGTACCACTCTCATCATAGTACCACTCTCATCATAGTACCACTCTCATTATAGTACCACTCTCATTATAGTACCACTCTCATTATAGTACCACTCTCATCATAGTACCACTCTCATCATAGTTCCTCCTTCTAGTTCTCCTTGAAGCCTCCACTCACCCCCTCCCTCAGTTCACTTGACACTAACCATCATCTTCACATAGATAACTCTGGCAACCTTCTTCAGGATTGCCACACCCCAGAGGCAGGCAGAGCCTCATGTTATTCTTTCGTGGGCTATCTTATCGATCCAGCCTCTCTTAAAAAAATAAAAAGGTCCACCTTAGGTATCATAACACCCTCCTGTCACTCAGCATTGCCCACTGTAAAGTAGAAATGTTTAAGATCATAAAAAAAACTGACCCTGTCTCACTAACATCAACCAATATATATATGATTAAAGGAATGTAAAATAAAACTTATTTCGTCATTGATTGATCTCTACCCCAGATCTAAAGGATCGGTTTCTGAAAGTACCAGGACAAGTGTACACTGTGGAGGGCAGCACTGTAGAGTTTGAGTGCACACCTCCTGCTAGCTACCCACCTGCCAATGTTACCTGGCATAAGGACACCAAACCTGTGAGTGTGTATTATTTGGTTGGGATATTAAAGTGGTGTCTGATAGTATAAAGGTATACAGCTGTATACAGTATAAGTTTTGAGGCAATTCCCACTGTTCACTCAATTTTTCCCCCTACTCTTGCCGAATGCAAAAAGATCGTAGGAAATAAGTAATCGGGTTTAACCACGGGCGTCTAACCTAATTTTCTCTTTCAGATATCAAACTCCCGATCGTACATGGGATCAAACTATACGCTAGTAATAGTAGGTACGTTAACAATAACTTATCAAAAACAATTAGATAATTATCATATTGAATTGTTTTTGATTAATGATTTAGTTTTGGCTGTGATAAATGCCAAATATTTCACCTTTTTGCTGAATCTTTTTCACTGACTAACAGACATGACCTTCCCAGGAACACTGCCTGAAGATAGCGGTAATTACCAGTGTATTGCTGACAACTCTATCACAAATGAAACAAGGACTAGTCTAGAGGGAGAACTTTATGTTACACAAAGGATTGACAGTGAGTTTTCAATACTTAATGTGATATGGCAAACATTTTACTCCTGTTCACATTTTTAAAGAATAAGATATTGTACATCCCAACTTTTAATTCCGACAAAATAAGTAAATAACGTATTTCTTCAGGTGACGTTGACGATGACTCAGAGAAGCCTTCGCCCTCAATAGCTTCATATTATACAACAGTAAAAGAGGGAGAATCGGCTAGTTTACTTTGTGCCTTCCAAGGGGTCCCTTATCCCACCTACAGGTTAGAGAGTTTATAAACTCTACATAGTTTACTTTGTGCCTTCCAAGGGGTCCCTTATCCCACCTACAGGTTAGAGAGTTTATAAACTCTACATAGTTTACTTTGTGCCTTCCAAGGGGTCCCTTATCCCACCTACAGGTTAGAGACAGTTTATAAACTCTACATAGTTTCTATATGGACACGTTCATTTGAGTTTGAGGATATTGGTAAACAAAAATGATAGCGTTTTCGACGATAGTGGCTTAATTTTGACATCTATTAACCTAGCACGTTCAGAAGTTCTGAACATTAGCCACGTAACCCATACTCCCATATGCACTGCTCAGAAAGAAAATCTATTGTTGTTAGGCACTATAATGGTTCAAATGTCACATTTTGTGTGACTTAGTTAACTGCAGTTGTCTAATTATCATTTCTTGGTCTGAAATATAGTAGATTAGGTCAATCTAACAATTATGATACAACATTGGTTAAAGGGCACGGATTGAACGGTTACAAGGCAATATTTGGGTAACTTTGTCACACTCAGAATACAATACCTCTATTCTACTGTGAGGTGTCCTCAAAAACCTTTTAACTCATTATTCTATTATTTGATGGTTGATCTACCAATCATAGCCCTAAAATATGTTGTTTTGAATAGTTAGCTAATACAGGCACTTGGTTATTTGGAAATGAGGTTAATTCTGTCACAATATATGGAATTTTAAATTTTGGGCGTATTATTTATATCTGATTTTGGTTTGAAAGGCTGGAAAACTTTACATGATGACAATGTAGTTGATGCAAGTTAAGATCAGTTGATGTTAACATTGTCACAAAAAATGATACGAAATCGTAAATAGGTTAAAAACAATGATTATAGAATAAAATAGTCTCTTATAATAACTCTTATAATAACTGATGTGACAAAGTAAACATGTCTTGCCCCTATTTTGAAGATCTATATATTCTATGACTCTATTAGAATTCAACATTCTTTCAGAAAAAAATCGGTAGAATATTGTCCAGAACATCAGAGCTCAAGTTTAACAATTTTAGGTTAAATTTGTCGAAGTCACTAAAAATGTGACAAAATTAACTTTTCCCGCCCGAACAATTTCAAGATAGTGTGTAAAAATTAGCATAGGCTGCTTTATTACCTATATAAATCAATCCAAACTACGAAAAAGATCTGTTAATCTGATGACGATTACCTAACTCTAATAATAACTGATGTGACAAAGTAAACATGTCTTGCCCCTATTTTGAAGATCCATAACTCTATTAGAATTCAGCATTCTTTCAGAAACGATTGGTAGAATATTCTCTAGAACATCAGAGCTCAAGTTTAACAATTTTAGATTAATTTGTCAAAGACGCTGAAATGTGACAAAATTAACTTTCCCTGCCCGAACAATATCAAGATAGTGTGTTAAAATTGGCATAGGATGCTTTATTGCCTATATTAATCGATCCAAACTACGAAAAAGATCTGTTAATCTGATGACGATTACCTAACTCTTATAATAACTGATGTGACAAAGTAAACATGTCTTGCCCCTATTTTGAAGAGCTATACCTCTATTAGAATACTATGTAATTTTATCATCAATGAACTAGTTATTTTGCCAGCAAGGAGCTAACAGAGTTATAATAATTTGTTTGTGACGAAATTACCCTATTTTTGACCATGTTGCGGTAGTTTAATTGTGACACTGTTAACATATTACCACCCGATAATGATTTATGTGACTGGTGCGTGGTACTAGCAGTGTTGTTTGATCCATAGTACATAATATAAGGGGTTTAAGCTGGTATATCAATATTTGTTTAATTTCACACATGTTCAGATATCATCAAGATTATGTGACAAAGTAAACTTGTTTGTGCCTTCTGTGTTTTAATTCCTTACGACTATATGATATAATAACAATTCCTAGCACTTCCGGGCCATCAAATAAACCTACACTACTCAGCATTGCTTATCAGGGTGCCCTAAACATTCTTCACATGTTTTCTTAAATGTGTGACAGAGTAAACCTGAGTGCACCATCTAACGAAAAAAGTCGTCAAATATGTAGGTAATGGTCATATGTACCCATCCAATCAACTGGACAATCAAAAATTTGGTCAAAAACGGCTGCAAGGGGTCCATATTTACTCCGTCACATGTTTATAGTGTGACAATGTGACCATTTCCGTGCCTGCCGTATTTAAGCGATATCTTATCACCTGATTAAGATATCGTTAAGTGACAAAGTTAGCATAGAGGATGAGACGATTATCCTAACCATCAAGGGTTTGTGTAATTTCATATTGTGACAAAGTCAACTACACTGTGCCTTTTAATAGGGTCACTTATATTTACCAATATCCTCAAACTCAAATGAACGTGTCCATATATAAGGTGTTTTTATACGTTTTATAATACAGACTAACCTTATGTAAACTGTTAAGAAAACACAAATTTTATCCTCGGGTTTCTGCAGGTGGTACTTTTCTAATAAAACAGAGATCTCTGATGTCAACACCACTTTCTCTTACCAGTACGAAAAACAGGTAAACACAAAATCCAGTTTTGAAGAGTTATTACACTATGTTATGATGGAAATGATCACGAATAATCATGGCTAAAGGACGATCTTCCAGGTGATATAATTATTACTAAAGGTCCCCATATTCCAGGTGCTGCAGATGAACAGTGTAACCCGGGACCTAGCCGGCTTGTTTCTGTGTCAGGGAACTAACGTAGCAGGATCTAGTGTCATCAACATAACCCTCTTTGTGGACTACTCAGGTGGGTTATACTATCACTGGTATCATTTTGAAAACTCATATATTCATTAACTTTAAGTTTACTTGCTTACTTAAGTTTACATTATTGTTTCATAGCTTTTAAAGATTTTCTAATTATATTAAATTTCAGAGGAGCTAGGATTTGCTGAAGATTTAGTGGAGGAGATGGTTTTTACACAGGGCAAGGGAAAAACAACAGAGATAATTTGCAAGGGGGAGGGTACTCCTCCGCTTGATATCAGGTATCATCTACAGAATAATAAACATGATTGCAAACTTGAATTCTTACGAGTTCTTTACACATTCCAGCTCGAATTTTTCAACAAACGACTCCACACTCCACAGTCACCATTATATAGAAATAAAATCATAACTTCACCTGGAAAAACCCCCAGATGGTACGGAGAGGATAACACCCTCTTGAGCTCGGACCCCATCCTACAAATAGACCTGAGTGAGTTACAGAACATGTCAACTACGTGTGTAGTAGAGAACAAGAACGGGACTGTCAGGCAGAGCACCAGGGTTACGGTAGTTGGTAAGTTAGTGTACTTATTATTTACCTGTAGTGGGTAAGTTAGTGTGAAGTACTTATTATCATTTACCTGCAGTTGGTAAGTTTATAGTGTGAATTACTTATTATTTTCCCAACTTGGTAAGTTCGTGTGAAATACTTATTATTTACCTGTAGTTGGTAAGTTAGTGTACTTATTATTTACCTGTAGTTGGTACGTTTAACGTTAGTGTGAAGTACTTATTTTTTTAGTCAATTTGTTACAATACAACGAGTTAAAAATTCATACCAGCGGTCCGCATTTTGGAACTACTCGCATGATTCTCGGTTTAAAATCGTTTTCTTACAAAAATGCATTAAATGTATTTTACGTCACCACGTACTGATTAATGATTTAAAAAACTGACGACAAATTCAATATGATGCATGACATAAACGCACTATATCCTAAAACAACACAAATGCTTCCAACACAATGTATTTCTCAGCTGACGAAGACACCACGGATCCTACAAAAGGAGTGGTAGCTACGGTGGAGTGTTACGGAGATAGGATGGTACTGTCTCTGACTGAGAGGAGGAACGTTGCTATATTCCACTTGTTTGATAGTGGTAAGTAAAAGTTTGGGACCAAAATTGTAGTGTACACATCAGTGGTGTAACGTTGCCTGTTGCCCCCCCCCCCCCCCCCCTTTGGCGCCCCACCCTAAAATTGAACAAATTAGGTGATTTTAAGATGGCGCCCCCGCATAGCGGGGTCAGCGCAAGGTTGTAAAATACGTCAAATTTTCGTGAAATAATACGACGTATTCGGTTCTGATAAAGAATACGTCGTAATACGCCGTAATACGGTAATTTCTATGGATTGTTAAATACGCCACGAATACGCCATAATACGCCGTAATACGCTGATTTGTCAAAATTAAACATTACAGCTGCGCGCCACCCTCATCATTGATCATGCATTAAAGGATTGCAGTTATACATGATAACTTAAATTTGTAATCAAATTTCATGGATAATCCGATAAGCTAACATTTTTTGCGAAATTATCAATTACATATTAATACATATTTAATGATTTTGATGTTCAGGATTTAAAGACCGTCCGCGATCAATTTCAACTTCAAGCCACACCTTTTCGTAATACGTCAATTTTCGAGGATCAATACGTATTTGTATTCCAATACGTATTCCCTCCTAATACGTATTTAACAACCTTGGGTCAGCGGAGCCCTTCGTTACGCCACTGATACACATAGAATACATTGCTAAAGTATTAGTGCGAATCTAACTCATTACCTCCAAAAAGCACAATTTTTGAATGATGAACGATAAACCAATAAAAATAAAGATATTTCAAAAATTAAATTTCAGAGTGCGAGTTTCTGGGGGAGTCCCAAGAAATCGTAACACCTTTAGAAAGGTGTGGAACAAAAGCTTACTACAACGACTCTCACATTATTTATAAAAACCAGGTTTGTAAAGCTTTTAAATTTAATCTGTTGTCAAGTTTCACTGCCCATGAAATAACCATTGAGACGTGAATAAGAGTGGGCCGAATTCAGATTGAAAAGTTGTTCTACAAAGTCTGCCCACCTAACGATCTAACGATACGATCCAAGATATTAGTAATATTAGTGATATCAGTAATATTACCCTAAACATACTTTACACTTAACCCGTAGAGGGGACATACATAGGTTGGAATGGTTTTGTGCACCACGAGGAGTGAGAGAGAGAGAGAGAGAGAGAGAGAGAGAGAGAGAGAGAGAGAGAGAGAGAGAGAGAGAGAGAGAGAGAGAGAGAAAGAGAGAGAGAGAGAGAGAGAGAGAGAGAGAGAGAGAGAGAGAGAGAGGGAGAGAGAGAGATAGAGAGTTGTTATGGGTGGTTAGGATCAGTAGGTGGAGTGTTTGGTTGGAGCCTTCTGTTTTGCTGTATTACATTTCAGCTACTCCGCAGTTTATTAACTGTGTCTCAACTCAACAGGTAACAGGGGTGGCTAACGGTGGGGTTGAAAGTGGTAGTCTGATTAGCAGAGGAGATAACTTTCACATTACCTTCGAGTGTGCTTATAAGAGGACAGGTATAGGAGCCAATTTGCAAAAAATCTTCCTTTTTTCTTTCTTTATGAACAAAAGAATACACCATGTTTGTAAGTTGCCTAGCTTATCTAAATGAATAAAATTGTCTAGTCATCGAAATTACAAACACAATGTTTGTAAGGTGTCTCGTTTACCCAAACATTCACTTGACAGTCGAAAAATTGTCTAGTCGTCAAAATTTAGACGCACGATAACCAAACGAACCTTTTATACACAGGTTTTCTAATTTCTAATTTCTAATTTCTAATTTCTAATTTCTGCACAGGGAACACGGACAACGTAGCTTGGGAAGCAAGGGGTCAGATCACTGTAGACATTAAAGGAGCTGGCTCCTTCACATTCGTTCTGGATCTGTACGAGAGTTCTAACTTTACTATGAAGAGGGACAGTAGTCAGTATCCTGTAAGATTGTCAGTTCAAGATGACATATATTTAGAGGTACAGTTCAGATAAATTTTCTCTTTCTCTTTCTCTTTCTCTTTCTCTTTCTCTTTCTCTTTCTCTTTCTCTTTCTCTTTCTCTTTCTCTTTCTCTTTATCTTTCTCTTTCTCTTTCTCTTTCTCTTTCTCTTTCTCTTTCTCTTTCTCTTTCTCTTTCTCTTTCTCTTTCTCTTTCTCTTTCTCTTTCTCTTTCTCTTTCTCTTTCTCTTTCTCTTTATCTTTCTCTTTCTCTTTCTCTTTCTCTTTCTCTTTCTCTTTCTCTTTCTTTTTAAGCTGGATAGTTTGCAATTTTCATACCTGGAAGTAGAATGCTTTAAAAGGTCAGCTGACATTAAATTCATACATCGTTTCGTTTGAGTAGGAACAATAACAAATGATTAATTGATTTATTGATTGAACTCGACATTTCCAGGTAGCATTGATATCTCCGGACGAAAATCTTTCTCTGCAGATAGCAGATATTAGAGCTAGTGATAGCCCGAGTGGCAGTGGAGGTTCCTTCGCCTACAGCCTTGTAGAAAATGGGTGAGTACCCCTGGTAACCATGACAACCACCCTGGTAACCATGAAAACAGATCGCTGTTTAAACAAATTTAAATATTTGTTTGGAGACTTGCAAAAGTTCGTCAAAAACATAAAAGTTTCATCGTACAAAAATTCATTATTTTTCCTGTCACCAGTGTATGGTATTTTCAAGTACATTTCTTTCCCAGGTGTATAGTAGATTCTACCTTCAAGTATATCGAAACAAATAACCTAAAGAAGAGACGATTCACGTTGAAAGCCTTCCATTTTATGAGTAGTCAGTCAGTAGTGTATCTTCACGCCTTCGTCAAAATATGCAACAAATCTAGCAACAGGTACACGAAATATCAAACAAATCTATCAGGGCTCGAAAATGATTATAATAATTTTACTGATATATTATTAGTTGTCATTCAATCCCTAATGTCTTTACAGCTGTTCTGATATCTGTATAACAGACAGAATCACTAATCTCTTTACAGCTGTTCTGATATCTGTATAACAGACAGAATACAGAGAAGGTCACTGGATGAAGCTGCAGAAGAGGGAGTTAAAGAGTACCACATATTTCAAGGACCCTTTGTTACTTTTGATTCGTCACGATTGACAGGTAAAAACCAATCATTACGATTGACAGGTAAGAACAAATCATTTTCTCTGTTTCTTTTTCATTTTTTAGATGTTTTGAATAAGTGATAACGGCAGTATTATATTATGTATGTATTACATAATATTATACATAAAAAGATTATGTATGCAATAGATATTGAATATAAGGCTCATTCAGGATATCACTGGGTTTTGAAGGCATGCTTTAACAATCTACACATTTTTCAGTTGTGTCAGGTGCCGGCAGATTAGTTCTAAGCTTGCCATTCCTATTTCTACTTATCCTAACATCATAGTCAATAGTAATCCAATGGATTTATCTAATGCCTGCTGGGGTTGAAGCACTGAATTACAAAAAGTTATTCCCGACGAGTTGGAGCTATAGCTGAAGGTAACTATGGTAACTAGTAGTGTAACTGAAGGGCGAAGTAATTTTAATCTATGCGGAGCGAACGAACGATTTCAGACACTTGTTGGTATGGGAGAAATATGCGAACAATTTTAACTGTTTTTCTGTTTTATGTTTATCTGCAACAGTTTCATAAAATCCTACACAAAGAACATTGGTTCACCATAAAAAAGCTATACGAAGTCGACTGAAAAGTGTTCAACAATCTAACAATTATTTGTCATTATACAGGCCTCTACAATTTTTATTCTGGCGACCTCTAAAAACTATTTCTGAAAGTTTTCCCGATCTCATTATCTCAAGTGACCTTTATGATTGACAATAGGTTAGATAACCATGAATTAGGAGGGTGACTTAGCTTTTCACTTCAATGACTGAACAGAACTTTCTAAATAATAACTTCCGAGCATGCGTTACAATACTTTATGTATCAAAATTGCGAATTTTCGCCCTTCCCTTTGGGGTCGTTCACATATTACGTAATCAATATTTTAGCAATTTTTACCCCCCTCCCCCTCCCTAATCAACCGTAATACTTTGGGAACCCCCTCCCCCCTCGGCTGATTACGTAATATGTGAACGACCCCTTTAGAAAAGAAAGGTTATGTCACCTCTATTTCATGGTTAACGTAATCTATTGATTTGTTATATTCCATCGTTAATCCACGAATCAGATAGAGAGTTTTAATTCTATTTTATATTGGCGGTTTATTATTATATTCAATAATTGTTAAATTATTTTTAATTATTTTGATTTTATATAACTTAAATAAATCAAGTTGTTTTCATACTTCTCGCATTCCTGATAAAAATTGACTTAACGTTAAAATTCTAAATCTCGAATATTACATTAAAGTGTTATTGAATGAGTGATCAATGATCATGATAAATATGCATTACAAATTTAAATCTAGAACACACATTATAAGCAGCATATTTGATATTAGTATTACTATATTATTATATATTATATATTATTATATTATATTATATATTATAGTATTACTATCAGTTTATCGTCATATCCCACACTTTAATAGCACTACAATTGCTTGCTACCTGTGGATTACAACTCTACAATTAACGAAAACACAGTAACCTCCGTCAGTATCGTGCTTACGTTGAAGTCCAATTAACAATTCTCTTAGTAATCCAGCACTATATTGATTGTATACATCTTAAATATCAATCGATTTCAAATCTTAAGTACACACAATTCTGCACAATATTGAATGTTAACATATTTCTTATTCGTCGATTCAAAAAATCTATAGAAAATTAGAAATTAGAAAATTAGAAATTAGAAATTAGAAATTAGAAAGATCATTACAAAATTACATGTGTCAGATCCCAATCAGTTAAATGAAACCAAACAACAAAAAAAAACATAATATCTTAAATAAATAATTAAATGGATTCAAAGTGTGCACGAAATAAGGATACTAAGTCATAGCTTACTTTTAGGAAATCTTTCACGAAATAGATTATAAACAAAATTTCTGGTCTCCAAAATGTAATCCTCATTAAATAATTTACTGAATTGACTATTTGTGAGTATGTTGTGAAGGTTTGTGCTGTTTCTTTGTCTGATCTCCTTGTAGACAGGACATTCTTTAAGCAAATGGACTTCGTCTTCTTTAATGATGTCACTTAACGGGAGCTCGTTCAGGAGGTCTATGGTGATTCTGTCTGAGCTGCAGCAGAAGTGGCAAGCTCTGTAGAAGATGCTTGAGTTTTTCCAGCCATATCGCCCCGTCTCGATATTAAGTTTGTGGGAGCTTGTCCTCAGCCATGTGGTACATCGGGTTTTCTTGTGATTGGGTAGAGACAGGTATGGTTCTAATCCAAAGCTGCTTTTGACTTCGTTGTAGAATGTAAGCTTTTTGTTTTCAAGTCGAGCTTTTTCCCACTTTTCTTGGAACCAATTTCTCATTCTACTCCGAACGAGTTGGCTGTTCGGCATGGGAACATTCTTCGAGACAATTGTTCGTTTAATTGCTCCTGGGTCAAATGCGTCGGTCAGCGCTCTCGATGTTCGGAACAAAGGTCAGCTCTAGGTTTCTTTGCTCTACAAAAGCATGGCGAACAATCTGTGGTGAGTTTTTTCTGTCAAGGAGGACGAGCCTGTTGTGGAAGTCAAGAAAGAGCTTAGTCAGTTGTATTCCAAGGGGATATCTTCCTGTGTCTCCCCATATCGGGATATTTGAAGTTCTCTTGTTGACCCCAGTCGTCCATTTTAGCAGCGAGAGATGCAGGCGCTCGATGCTGTCATTCGCTAATTGACTGAGTGTGTCTTTGTCAGACTGTGTTTTCTTCTGGCAGATGTTGTTGAGAATGTTGGTATAGGGGAGCCACACCTGGCTACCGTATGAGACGACAGGAAGTATAAGGGCATCGAAGAGTTTGAACACAGCCTCTTTAGAAATAGAGGAGAGATCAACCGTCTTTTTCAGGGAGAAGTATGCTCGAAGTCCTTTGATCCTGAGCTGCTCTTGGTTAAGTTTCATACTGCCACATATTGTGAAATGAGTACCTAGGTAGCAGTAGCTTTTGACCGAGGGGATTACAATACTTCTGCCGTAGGTAAATGTTTTACTCTCGAGTAACTGCCTTCCTGAGGGATTGAAGACGATGACCGCAGTTTTCTTAATGTTAACAATCAATCCCCAGTTAGTGCAAAATATGTGGAGTTGGTCAATCATTAGCTGAAGACTGACCTTGTTAAGGGCTAGCAAGACCAGATCGTCCGCCCAAAGCAGGTGAGTAATCTGTTGGTTGTTGAGTTGGGGACTTTCCACTCCGGGTAGGGCGTTAATCTGGAGGGAGAGTTCGTAGATATAGCATTTGAAGAGTTCTGGGCTCAAGGGGTGGCCCTGTTCTGTTCCTGCATTAACGTCAAAACAAGCCGAGAGCTTTTTAACCATTTTAAGCCTTGCTTTTGAGTTTCTGTACATGTATTGGAGGCAATCAAAAAACCGCCCCTGCATACCAAGCTTATTTAGTTTGTACAAAAGTGCTTCTCTTGATACCGTGTCGAACGCTTTCTGAAAGTCTACAAAACAGCTGTAGATTCTTTTCCGTTGGACTTTTACATATTTTTCAATACATATGAAGTTAAAGAAGCGGATTTGGGAGACTAGTCATTCACGATGCTATATAAGTATAATATATTAAAGTCATTATTGTAACGGTTTATTAGAACCAGACAGAAACAAAGTGTGAAGGGCCTGAACGGAACCCTTCGGTTTCAGTTCCTTGTTTAACACTGCCGTACAGCAAGGACATTCACCGAGTTCGCCAAGGCTTGGCACATAGCTCACTCCACAAGATGCTCTGTCGAATGTTGATTATATACCGAGAATCTACAGGAAATATTTCCTTGTAGGTTTAGAGGGTGATCTGTGAACCTCATTCACAACTTATAGGAATTAGAATTCCTATACTATTCCTATATGATGGTTACCAGGCCGAGGGTGGTTGTCATGGTTACCAGCCACTCTTCATTCCAACCTGTACAGTTGATCGAGATGATGAAAGAAGGACTGAAAACTTGAAACTTTTTTTGCAAACGATTTTGGTCAAACGTTCTAAGTCATAAAAAATTTCAGATCTCTAACTCAATTTTTAACATGGTTTGTAAGGACACTGAATATGGCGATTTTGGGTTTTTTACCGAATTTCGTTATAACAGTGCTGGCGAGTATTTTAGGGCAAATTTCTCAATAATCTCAACATAACTATTTTTTATTCTCTGTCATCTTTGACATCAATTTGAATGTTATGAATAAAAATAAATCTGCTGAACGACTTCCGTTGAGTCTTAATGCCTGAAAAACTCCTGACCGGAGGGCGGCGGCCTTTCGGCCGCCGCTCTGGCCGGAGTGCACGCTTCCGTGCATCGAAAAGAGCTTGGGAACGTGTACCAAAAAGGGGTATATAGTAAGGAGGGTATAATATTAAAGGGGGAGTACCTGTAACCCTAATAAAATGCACCGGTCGTGTTGCCGCACTGTTTCTGCTGGTATGTATCCGACAATCTGTCGTAAAAACAGGTTCTAGAAAAACCCATTTCCGTGCTCTGAACTTGAAAAACCTTTTTTTTGCAATCGTTTGGTAACGTTAGACGTCTAAAAAATGTCAATCTCTAACTCAATTTTAACATGGTTTTTAAGGCACCGTGAATTTGGCGTTTTGGGTTTTTTACCGAATTTCGTATAACAGTGCTGGCGAGATTTTATGCAAATTTCTTAAAATCTCAACATATATTTTTTTATTTCCGTCATTCTTTGACATCAAATTGAATGTTTTGAACTAAAAATAAATCTGTCGAAAAACGACTTCCGATGAGTCTTAACTGCCTGAAAACTCATGCGGAGGCGGCGGCTTCGGCCGCCGCCTCCGGCCGAGTGCATACGCTTGGGTGCCGAAAGAGGCTTGTACGTGTACCAAAGGGGGTATAATGTAAAGGGGGTATAATAGTATAATGAGGTACATAGTATACCCACATAAATGCAACGGTCGTGCGTGCCAGCACTGTGATTATATTGGAACCAAAGTCTTTTGTTTTGAAAATTTCTTCTAATATAAATAAAACTTCACGAAAAACTATTCATCACTACTAAAAATGACAGTTATACGAATTATAATATTGATTACGTTACTAAAAAGTGTACAACTATAATTCGTAACAGAGGTGTTTCATACTCTACAATACAGTTATGTACCTACAAATTTCTATGTAAGGTCTTTAAACATAAAACTATTCTAAGAGTCTACCAAACATTAACCACTGTTCCGCAGAACTCTAGATAATCAAGTTCAGCACACACAGGAAACTAGCGAGAACATTCGCTGGCTTTGCAGTTTAAGCGTGAGAGTAATGCCCCATATCTCCCCCCTCCTCGTTATCAGTGTCTTCTATAACTTCTCCTCTTTGCGTTCCCTGTAAACGTCGTTAATTGCACCGTAACCTACTCACATCTCTATCCTTGTGGCTACAAAACCCTCCCATGCTGTTTTGAACGCACTATGCTGTACACCGTTTTCAGCTGATACATAGAAGTCAGATACTTTCGATATCATTGCAAAGCACTGTTAGCCTTGGTCCTTCTACTATGGTAAGGGTCCACACTATTTCAACTTTTCACTCGGTAAATTGGTAAATGGCCACAGGTTCGTAGAATGGCACGGCTAGTTATCCATACGTAAATGGCCTTTCGTTAAACGTAATTTCTATCATTTCACCTCTTTGCCGAATTCGTCAGGAAATTTTATCACATGTGTTAATACCCGCCCAATTTCAGATCGGTCTTCATCTGTATAGATACTACATCCTCAAAATCTACGGAAGGCGATGTCTGAGTGCCGTCTACTACCTCTATTTCTTCCCATAGTCTGCTTCAGCTTTGTCGAGTGATAAGGCAACTATTAGCATTAATGCTAATAATGGACCATTCGCTCCTCTTTTCTCCTAGAAATTGAATAGTTGTTTTAAATTTGCAATTTAGCGGCGTAACAAGTATAATGTAACAAAACAAAAACCCGATTTACTGCGAACCCGCTTTACGTGATTGTTTAATTTCCCCCAGTTAATGAGAAATATAAACCGTCAGATAACAACAACTAAAGTATATGTACTTAGGTTGTACTTATATCTTTATAAATCACACTGTGGCACGTTTCAGAGGAGCAACGAATTATAAAAGTTATCAACGAAATCTTAACAAGGCCAGAATTATGTGCAAGCTAAAAACTACAGTGTATCACATGCAGGCGACATAGAAGCCATCTCAACGCAGGACAACGTCTTGATTGCGCTTTCAAGTGTTCCTTGATAGACTTTTGTTAATTATTCTGCAGGCGATCACGTGACATATTGTCTTTGTGATTTTTGGATCTAGCTGGGATATTGATAGCAGTTTTCAGATCATTGAAATATGATTGTAACAATGGGGAGTTACCTGTGACCTTACTGATGTCATCATCGACATTCTTCTTGGTTGGTCCGTACACGTTAACAATCCTGATCATACGATGAGATCCGTTGGGTTCTGTGAGTCTTATATCAATGAAAGCCACTCTGTTACTAAGTGATCTCCATGCAACAATAGAAGGTACAAGGACTGGGCAGATTAGAAAACCGAGACCATAATGATACCAATTGTCTGATTGGGCTAGTGTTACAAGTTTGTGACTGTCAATAATTGTTTCCTCGAAGTCTCGGCATTTTGTCTCTTGGAGACACACTACATCTAAATGATAACGTTTAGCGTCACTTTTATTTTTTATTATTATTTTTTATTATTAAAAGTATTTAATAATAACAAGAATTGCGCCCGTTTGTTCGACTGTTGGCGGACGCTAGATTTCCATCCACTTGTACCAAATGTCAAAATTTTATCATACCTTGGCCTTCAATTAATTGTTTTGTTTCTGGTGTCACGTGAATTGGCTTAAAGTTAATTGACTAACTGTATGGTTACAGAAACCCAAATAAAAGACAATCACAATGAAAGTATGATGTATGAAGTAGAGTTGACTGGACCAGCTTGATATAATTGTTAATTAGCTCAAGTTAGGAGTTGCCGCTAGTTTACTGATGTCTGTCGATGTTAGGGGATCAAAATATCTGTGCATCGAAGAAAATATGAGTAAATAAAGTGAATGTTGTCCAGTCACAGCGCGCGTGGAGGTAATTTAATTAATTTTACGGATAAGCCGCGCGGCTGTATTCTGAAATATCGCGTGTAGATTTGAATGTTGTCCCTCCGCAAACGTTAAGATCAAAGTTGCCATAACAACGCGCAACTCTGTGCCAGAGAAAATTAATACACGATATAATCTAGGTTGCGGTGAAATAGAAATGGATAAATAAGGAAGAGAACATATTATTATCATGTTGTGCTTAGAACTGGTCCCTCTCTTCCACTTTCAAATTAGTGGTTATACAAGGTTGAATAATGTTTTATAGTCATGTCATACTTCAATGATACCAACTATTGGAATTCAAATCTCACTGTTCAGTATGTTAATTAGTTCAGTATGAATTATGATGAAGTGTTAATAACATTGTCTTGCTAGGTCCCAGCCGGCAAAGTTGGTTGGATTAACGTTGTTTTAAGGTTGGAATTTACACTTTCCAACGTTGGGTTTGAAACGTTGTGTAAAAGTTGATTAAACGTTGCATTACCAACGTTGGAAATGAGTTAGCTGTAAAAGGTTAATGTAACGTTTTTGCTACTACGTTGTATGTACGTTATCAGAAAAACTATACGACAACGTTGTTATTGAAACGTGTTAATAACGTACTTGAAAAGTTCGTTGGATAAACGTTGTAATTTACACTTTGGGTTTGTAACGTTGTATACAAGTTGATTAAACGTTATATTACCAACGTTGGAAATGAGTTAGCTGTAAAAGGTTAATGTAACGTATTTGATACAACGTTGTATGCACGTTATCGGAAAAACTATACGACAACGTTGTAATTGAAACGTGTTAATAACGTACTTGAAAAGTTCGTTGGATAAACGTTGTAATTTACACTTTGCAACGTTGGGTTTGTAACGTTGTTTACAAGTTGATTAAACGTTACATTACCAACGTTGGAAATGAGTTAGCTGTTAAAGGTTAATGTAACGTTTTGGTACAACGTTGTATCCACGTTATCAGAAAAACTATACGACAACGTTGTAATGGAAACGTAACAGTAACGTAACAACCATTGATCGCATTAAAAACACTTGGTGAAGCTTAAAATTTCTATAAATCATACAAATGAAAACGTTGCAACAAAGTTAACACATACGGGCCCATACCACACTTTTATTTTAGGTTATATTTACAGACAAATTATGAGAGAAATTATTTTAAAGTGTTCCACTAAGCAGCGAAAGCTAATCAAAACAAAAATTCAGAGTAAGCT